GCTATTATGAATTTTTATTGATGTTATTTGGCCTTATTAATACTCAAAGCTTTTATGGACTTGATGAATAGGTTGTTTCATCACTTTATTAACAAGTTTGTGATAATGTTCATTGATAATATTTTGGTGTACTTTTACAATGAGAAAGAGTATGAAAATCTTCTCAAGAGAGTGTTACGAAGTTGAGGGATCATAAGTTGTATGCTAAGTTTTTTCAAAGTGCAAACTTTGTTTGGATAGTATGGCATTCCTAAGACACATATATCTAAAAAAAGGATTATGGTGGATCCAAAAATAAAATATAAGCGAGTAACTTATTGGCCAAAGCCTACTTCGATGATAGAAATTCTTAGCTTTTTGGGCTTAGTTGAGTATCACCGAGTGGTTTATGCAAGACTTCTCGAGAATAACAACATCATTAATTAAGTTGATTTAGAAAAATATGAAGTTTTTTAGGAGAGCTTTCAGAATGTTTAACTATAGGACTAGTCCTTACTTCACCCTCAAGGAGTGGTGAATTTTTAGTGTTTTGTGATGCCTCAATAATAGAGTTAGGATGTGTGTTAATGCAACATGATATAATAGTAGTTTATGCTTTCGGATAGCTAAAAAAACATGAGTAGAACTATCCTACTCATGATTTAGAGATGGCAAGCAGATGATTCTTACCTTAAAAATTTAAAGCCTTTATTTGTATGGAGAGACTTGTGAGATTTATAAAGACCATAAAAGCTTGAAGTGTACATTTGACCAACTAGATCCGAATTTAATACGAGAGAAAGTGGATGGAGTTATTTAAAGATTATGATTATACTAGTTAATGCCATCTCGGGTAAGCCTATTGTTATGGCCAATGCCTTGAGTAAGAAGTCGAGTGGAGAGTTTGGCCTATTTTTCAAAAGAGAAGTAGCCATTGATTTTGAAAGTGTATGGATTACGAGATTCTAGAATGGAGTTTGGATTTAGTGAATCGAGAGTTCTTTTGGCCCATATTAAGGTTAGGCATGTTTTGGGGGATCGAATTCAAGAGGCCTAAATGAATGATGAAGGAATATAAGAGAATTTTACTAAGATACAAGAAGGAAAAACTCAAGGGTTTAAAATGGACGGTAGAGGTACCTTATGGTTTTATCAAAAGTTATATATGTTAAAAGATCTAGAGCTAAGAGGAGATTTTCAAGGAGACTCACAATATAACCTATTATGTACATTCTAGTTATATCAAAATGTATAATGATCTTCGAGAGAATTAGTGATGAATTAGAATAAAGAAAGATATTATAAAGTTTGTTTTAAAGTATTTGACGTGTCAATAAATAATGTATGAGCACTAAAAGCCGGTAGAAAAGTTATAGGAGTTGCCACTACAAAAGTGAAAGTTAGAGTAATTATGGATTTTGTGATGGGTTTGCCTTGAACCTATGAGGGTATGATTCAATTTGGGTTGTTATGGATAGACTAACTAAGTCCACTCATTTTTTTGTCCCCGAAAACCGAGTTATGGATATGCCCGATATGCCCAACTATATATGGATATGATAATATCCTTACACGACATTTTAGTTTCCATCATTTCGGATCAAAGTACTTAGTTTACTTCTTAATTTTACAAGAAATTATAAGAGACTCTTGGTACGAGTTAGATTTTATTACGATATTCCACCCTTAGATAGATAGTTAGTTAAAAAGGATAATTTAGGCTCGAAAGGATATGTTTAGAGAGTGAGTGATGAATCTAAGAGGTAGTTGAGATTGCCATTTACCATTGATTGAATTCTCATACAATAATAACTATCATTATAGTATCGATATGCCACCTATGAAGCTTTGTATGGCCAAAAATATAGATGGCCTATTTGTTAGGCAAAAGCCAAAGAGAAGGAACCTTTAGGATCGGAGTTGATTCAACTTACTATCGAAAATATGAAGTTGATCCAAGAACACCTTAGGACTAGGCATAGTAGACAAAAGAGTTATGCATATCTAAAAAAAATAAAAATAAAAGGACTTGTGGAGTTTCACAATGGTGATTTTGTATTTCTTCGAGTTTTTCTAATGAAGAGCGTAATGTAGTTCGGTAAGAAGAAAAAGTTAAGCTCAATGTATATTAGCCTATTTGAGATCATTAGTCAAATTGAAGCAAGTAACTTATAAGTTGGCATTCGTTGCAACAAATTTTGAGTTTACATCATGTTTTGCATATTTTTATGCTAAGAAAATATGTATTCAACATGTCTTATGTCTTACAACCACAAATGATGGTGTTATATTCTAACTTATCATATAAGGAGCAATTAGTGGCGATAGTAGGCCATCAAATTAAAAAATTACGCAATAAGTAGATTGCGTCCGTTAAAGTCATTTTGGAGGAACCATTCAATCAAGGAGGCCACTTAGAAGGCTAAGGAAGAGATGAGGAGAAAACATCCTCGTTTGTTCACTTACTAAGGTATAGTTGGAATTAAATTTGACGATTTTTTTTTTTTTAAAAAAGGGAAAGATGTAATAACTCATCCCAAAAATAAGATTAAGTTAGTAAATTATATATTTTTATGATTAAATTTATAAATTTCATTCTTATAAATTGTCTTGTATTCCAATTTATCGAATAATTCATTTGCTTTCAAATTATTCTTTGATATATGATATTAATGATTATTTGATCATTTTATATCATTAGATTGTTCACAACAGACGACTCCATCTTTACAACCTTGATTTCGTTCGATTATTTGATTACATCATGAGTGGATAGTATATAGCATATCATATTTTTAAGTCCCTTGATATTTTTGTCATGCATCATTGGTTTAATTATATCATAATCACATCCATTAAAACTTAGATAAGAACAAACTTCTTATGTAAGTTTCAAACGATTTGATGTGATTGTAAAAAATGATTTGTTGTGTATTTTGAATAAGAGTTTCACTAAAGGTTTGATTTAACTTCATGGATGTAATTACTAGTTTGATTAAAATTATTGATTATGATTTATTCCTATAATTTAAGTAAGTATTTGATTTATAATTTTGAATATGAATTTCTTTTTTAGCTTAGAATTTTATTATGAGATTTGATATTGAATTACATATCAAATTTGATTTTGAACATGAATTGTATTTGGATATGCTAGTTTGAATTTTTAGAATATATGTAAGATTATTCGATTTTTTATTTGATGGACTACCTTGGAATACCTAGATATAGAAGGTGTAGCTTGTAAGCTAACCGATATCAAAATGCTTCAACTAGCAAGAGAGATACGGTCCTAGCATGTGTTTTGATCAACATATAGTATACCTAGTTATAGAGGGCGTAACCTTTGAATATTCACATCTAGTGATCCGATATAATTTGATTATCCTAGATATGGATTTTGATACTTGATATAATTTGAGTTGAGTATATGTATTTTGATATAATTTTGAATGATTTGACAATAAGAGATATGATTTGATATTTAAAATTATGTATTTGAGTTTTGAAAAATATGCATTGTATCTTGAGAAAATTTTAAATTATCATTTGTTTGTCCGTTTTCCTTCCGTAGTTATGTTATATGTTATCTACTCATTAAGCCATTGATTTACTTAAATTACATCATTTCAATTTTACAAGATTTATGAGACTCGTCTATTGACTCGGAATTGTTTATTTTGAAGACAACACATTAATCAAGCGACTTAGTTAATTGTACTATTTTGACACTTGTATTTTGACATTGTTGTATACTCTAAAGCTATGTAGTTATATCTGTGGGAATTGGATTAGGTTATTGATTATTATTATTATTGATATGCGTAAGCATTATTAAATTATAGTTTGAGCTAGAATTAGAAAATATTGACTAATTAAGTTGTGATATGGCAAATTAGATGAGAGTTGCATTAGAATGTTGATGGAGAATATTATTCGAAAATGTAAATATTATGAAACTACTAGATGAGAGTTATGTAAGAATTTTGATGATGAATATTATTGTAAATTGAATGGATATTTTGATTATTACATAGCTAATAATTATGGTTTAAACATTTGAGATTTGCTTGAGTTGATGTAGATCCTATGACTTTCTCGATTCTCGTATGGATCATTGCTCATTTCGAAGGTCGTGATATAGTTCAAAACAAACTTTTATTAAAATTATTTGATTTTCTCGTTTTTGAATGGTGTGGCATTTTGAATTTTTTACAAAATTAATAGATGAAATTTGTCTTAATATATTTTATTATACATGGAGTGGTTGAAATATACTTTAAATTTAAGTAATATATTAAATATAGTAAGAATAAAGTTTTTGCAAAAACTAAGTAATAAATCCGATATAGCTCCAAATCTAATCTACATCCGTTAAGATCAAGATTCGATTTACATTTTTAAAACTCAATTCGAATTTATAAGTTTTGACCATGTCTCGTTTTATTAAATAATTAGATCTGGACCTACTAAGATCCGATCTAAGTTCGATTCATTGACAACCCTAAATAGATTATAGTAATTATTACAATAGTAAATTATAAATTAGTCTATCTAGTTTCAAGAAATGAATTAATTAGTCATTCCGGTTATAAAAATTATTATTTAATTATTTGATCAATGTTGACTATACTTAATTTTTTTAAAATGTCTTCTTTATTCATCAATCTTTTCTTTTCTTTTTTCTATTTTTTATAATAAAAAGTCAAAATATTTTTTAAAAAAAAAAAGAAAAAAGCAAAAATACTAAATTACAAGTAAATTTAAAAATATGAAGACTAAATGATTAGTTTTGAAACAAGAAGGATTAATTTATTTATTTCTCAAAACAAGAGGGACTTTATAATTTACTCTGATTAACTACCTGTTTTGTTTTTTTTTAAAAAAAAAAGACTTTGCCACTGAAAAATCAAACGTAAATGGAAAGTCAACAGCGTCAACGGATTTGATTTAAGTCCGTCGACGTCCGGCCCACTCTCCAGTCTTTGAATGCCAAAAAAGGCAAAAAATCATCAATATCCATGACGTCGGTGGCGGTTGCGGTGGCGGTGACGGGCAGCGATGGCGTGGGAGGAAGAGGAAGCAGACGGGCTGTTCGATGGACGGCGGAGAATTTATGGGCGAAGGCGAATCGTTTGATTTTAGTCCACATCATGCCTAGTATCACCTGTATACCCAGTCCATGTAAGAATCAAATTTATTATTGTTTACAGTAAAATCAAAACTTGAGGTATTGTATTGGGTGTTATTATAGGCGGAGGAGATGGTATAGCAATTGAGGAAGTTGACGAGACTGTGGGGACACTGTACGTGCAAGAAGTGAAAATAAAGTTAGATGATGATGTCTTTTTACCATTTAAGAAGTTATTATGCAAAACTAGAGCAGAGAAGGTGAATTGGCTTTGTATTTTTCTCTGTCTTTGAATAATTTATTTTTCTCTGTCTTTGAATAATAGTAATCTCTTTCAGGTGGAAATCGAAACTGTGGTGCTGGAAGATGAAAATCCTGCAACTGGGCTTTTAAGATTTGTGCGTGAGTCAGGGATTCATAGTTTAGTATTGGGGTCTTCTTCCAGTTGCATTTTGAGGAAGCTAAAGGGACCAGGGGTACCCACAACTGTGCTAAAGTCTGCTCCAGAGACGTGTGATGTTCATGTTGTATCTAGACAGAAAATCATCACAAAATCAGCTACTAACTCACCCACTTATGGTAATTCACAACTGTGCTTGTGCTTGTATTTGCAGTCACTAGGTACTGTTACTGAGTTTTATTTTTCCCCACAGACTACCTCTAGGCACTGGTATTTACTCACAGATTATAACAAAGGTTCCAGCCACATAAATGGACAAATTTATGACCTTTATTCTTCCCTCTGTAGAATCCAAAGTTCAAGGAACCCTTGAAACATCATCAGTGTCTAACCTCAGTCACCTAGACTCTAAAGCCTCTGAGCATGTGGGTTTGTTTATTAATGCTACTCTGGATGTGGGAAGGTGCAATTCCCTAGCTTCGAGAGAATCTGACCAGGTGACTTGCTTTCTTTATTAATGTCACACATGTTCCTTTGCAGAAATATATCCAGGTGAAAAAGTTCATGTTCGAGCATTTTTTATTTGAAGATTTTTTCTTTTGCAGTCATATGTACAGGCCGAAGTAGAACAGCTACGGCTAGAATTGCAAAACACCATTATGATGTACAAAAGAGCTTGTGAAGAGCTTGTCCATACTCAGAACAAGGTTGGTCTGATCATTGCATGCTACTTTATATTTCTGCAAACATAATTGAGTTTTTATGTGGTTGTTTTCTTTTCTTTTCTTTTTCTTTTCCTTTGATTAAAAGGCATTAGAGGGAAATGAAAGTTTATCTTTCTGTGTAATTTTTGGATTCTTTACGACATTCAAGAATTTAAACTCTAGATAAATATGGCATCAATTTTAGAATTCTGAAGTTTTTGTGCTCACAAATTCTTCTAATTAAATAAAAATGCGGTGGGAGTGGAAAAAAGTGAGGAATGCCCTCTGAAAGGAGGTTATGGCTTTATCTCCAGACCCTGACCCCTATTAATGCTTCAATGTGCAGGTCCAATTACTTTCTTCGGAGTGCCTTGAGGAGGCAAATAAGGTGAATGCTGCCTTAGAAAGAGAAGAAACTTTGAAGAGAATTGCTGCTGAAGAGAAAGCAAGGTATTTGCAAGCCATAGAGGAGGTTGAGGAGGCAAAAGATTTGTTTGCTAAAGAAGCTTATGGAAGACAGATAGCAGAGCTTAATGCCCTCAGAGAGTCTTCAGAGAAACAAAAAATTGTAGATGCAGTCTTCTCGAATGACAGAAGGTATAAAAGGTACACTAAGGATGAAATAGAGCTAGCAACAGGTTTCTTCTCCGACAGCAATGTTATTGGCGAAGGAGGTTATGGAAAAGTTTACAAATGCAATCTTGATCATACCCCAGTAGCTGTTAAGGTTTTCCATTCCGATGCAGTTCACAAAAAACAGGAATTCTTGAGAGAGGTAACGTTGTGGTTTATTATGACTTCAATTTCAGTGGGTTTTCCCGATTGGTTTCTGGCTTCAGCCATTACTGCTTTTCTAACTGACTTCTGCTGCAGAAATGAAAAATATTCGCTTTGAAGAATTACAGCTTTTGTGGATTTTGGTCTAGAACTTGTGCAAGAATTCAAAATATTCACTTTGCTCAAAATCCCAAATTATTTGCACAATTTTGATCTTATGCAATGACTTCATTAATGAATTTTGTCATGACTACCATATCAGATGAACTTTCTAAGATTTATCCCCACAGTTTTGGAGGGGAAGCCATCTTTAGGCGTCTTTCCTTAATACCAAAATGCAAATTATTTCTTGTAGTGAATGTTTCACCATGCGTCAAATATTTGCTGCAATCATGACATAAAAATTATATTCCATCGGTTCTTTGCAGGTCGAAGTTCTAACGCAGTTACACCACCCACACCTGGTTCTGCTACTTGGAGCCTGCCCTGATAATGGTTGCCTGGTCTATGAGTACTTGGAAAATGGAAGCCTGGAGGAGAGTATCTTCCATCGAAATGGAAAACCATCTCTTCCATGGTTTGTTCGGTTTCGTATAGTATTTGAAGTAGCTTGTGGGCTTGCTTTTTTACACAACTCGAAGCCTGATCCTATTGTCCATAGGGATCTTAAACCGGGTAATATCTTGCTAGACAGAAATTATGTGAGCAAAATTGGAGATGTTGGGCTGGCTAAACTCATTTCAGATATTGTGCCAGACAACATGACGGAGTACAGAGATTCTATTCTTGCTGGTACTCTCTACTACATGGATCCTGAGTATCAGAGAACTGGGACTGTCCGACCCAAATCAGATTTATATGCTTTTGGAGTTATAGTTCTCCAAGTGTTGACAGCTCGCCCTCCTAATGGACTTCTATTAACTGTTGAAGATGCTATCATGAATGGCTCATTTACTGGCATTCTAGATACTTCGGTTCAAGATTGGCCACTTGCTGAGACAGAGGAACTGGCTAAAATTGCACTGAAGTGCTCTAAACTCAGGTGCAGGGACAGACCAGATCTTGATGCGGAAGTTCTGCCGGATCTAAGAAGACTTGTTGACATTGCAGCTGCTAGTGTTGAGGTGGAAAGAAGCAATATTTATGCACCAAGCCACTACTTCTGTCCAATTCTTCAGGTAAGAAGTCAGACACAATCCATTCGGAAAAGTCTTCAATAATAGTGCACGTCTCATTTGTTGTTCTCTCTATGAACGGATCTTGCTTCATGCAGGACATAATGGATGATCCCTACATTGCTGCTGATGGTTTCACATATGAGCACAGAGCAATCAACGCATGGCTTGATAAACACAACGTATCACCCGTGACAAAGCTGAGGCTCCAGCATTCTCTCGTAACTCCGAACCACACATTACGTTCAGCGATACAGGAGTGGAGATCACGTGTGATTATGCAAGTGCCTTAAAGAAAATTGAATTATATGTCACCCCAAGGAAGCTTTACACAGCAGAAACTAAAAGATGTCAAAGTTTCCCTGTTTGCTTCACATTCCATCACGTTGAAATAACAACAATACTGTGCAGCTAAATTAGGTAGTGTAGCAAATCGTCGATAATAGGTTGAAGGAAAAATCAATTGTGTTTCAAACTACTTTTAGGATGTAAATTTCGAACCAAGATGCCTATTCGTCAGCAAGAACTGTAAGTTAGATAATGTATCTGTGTGCACCTTGCCAATAAAAAGTTCTATTCCATCTTTATTTTTCTCATCCGACTGCAAGGTACATGGAGTGTGGGTAATGGAAATGCATGATACTGCCCTACTAGAGGCAAGGTTACAGATTTCTGATTATCAATCTAATATTTAATATCTTCACTCTGATTTAATGGCCTTCTGTAAATTGCATTCAAAACAGGAAGCAGGTTCTTCTATCTGAAAATGGATCCGCATCGAACATAATTCTGCTACATGATTTTGTGTGAAAAAGAAGCGATGCAGGAGTACAAACAACAGCACAGGCTTCGAACATCTTCTGCATCCAATTAAAAACTTCTGCGGATCAACCACCGATAGACATCCCTTGCCATAAAAATATCGATGTTATGGATCATCAAAAGAGAGGAAATCGCTGTAAATCGATCTTTCTTCCCCTTTTTTGTGTGATAATCACGGTGATTACATCTTTGAACTGAATCCTGATACCAAAGAACGATGAAGAGGTAGTTCTGGAATCAACAAGGAATCCTGTCAAAAGCCATTATCTTGTCCGCCTCTGCAGTCTAACTTTTCAAATAAATAAACATGTCTGACATATAAAGGTAACAATTTAGAGATGGGTCTAGTCTGGTATGAGAGAATGCATAGATGATTATTGGCAGGAAAAACAGGGAAAAAAATGCATAATTCCCCAAAGAAAACACTATGCTGATCCTTGCTCTTGATTGCCACTAAGAACAATGAGAAACTTGCAAGTTGAGTGCACAATTTTTTTATTTTTATTTTTGTAGTGTCTAATAAGTAAATTTTCTATTTGAGTGATTATGTTTTGATTTTTTTTTTATTTTTTTTTAGTATTCACAATCACCTCAACTAGGTTATACATAGATTATTTAGAAAATAAAATACAATTTGAGTGCCTAATTTTTTATTATTTTTCCATTCGAGTACTCAATGTTTGATTTGTTTTTTTTTATTTTTTATTTATTCTATTTAAGTTTTATTAGCTTTTTGAGATTAAAAAATACTGACACAGTTAGAATCTACTTGCGGTAATCTTCAACTAACACATGATAAAAAAAAATGAGTTCCTCTCAAATTTATCAACAAAAAAATTAAAATATATATGTATAAAACTTTATAAAAGAAAAAGGTACTGCTAAATTTATCAATTGATTTTTTATTCCTACCAATTTTTTTTAAAAAAAAATTATTAATACATCATTCGTCAATTACTAATAACTATTATATAGCAAATATTGATGGTGTGTTGATAATTTTTTGGGAAAAAAAATGAAAATAACAATTTGGTTGATAAATTTAGCAATACCTAAAAGAAAATAATTGACAACTTAAAAAAAAAAAATCAAATCAAATCAATTACTCTTAGCTAAATGAACTTGAATTGTTTATATGTTCAAAGATTAAAACTTTTGAATTAGACAAAGAAAATATTTACATGATAGTATCTTGAAAATATTTTAAAAAATTATTCAGCAAACTTGCCTTACTGAATTCATTAGACTAACAGTAGTTTATTTTATTTTATTTTAATTATTACCAACTATTTTTTTACTTAAAAATTTTGTAAATTGTTATATTTTTTATCAATAAATCTAAGAAAAACATGGTTTTTTTTTAAATGGCTATCATGTGTCAATTGATCCCAATCAATTTAATATTTTTCAATTTCATGTGACCGAAGAAATTTAAATGAAAAAAAAAATCTTCTGACTAATTAAAGTGGAACCTTTTTTTTTTAATCATGTTTCAATTAAAAAAACTGCCATATTACAATTCATCTTCAATACATTAGTATTCTTCAATCCTAAGTTATTATGGATACCAAACAAAAAGAAAAAAATAAATTAAAATTTGAATACTCAAATATAAAAATTTATCGATTTAATACTCAAACAGTATTAAAAAATAAAATAAAATAAAATAAAAACACTCAAATTGCAGTTTTATCCTAGAACAATCCATCAAGTTGATTTACACATCTATTGGCCACAATCTGCGATCCTGTATATCAAGTTCGTAATGAATAGAATGTTCTGGGTACTGTAAACAGGGACGGACCCGCGTTGAAGTGTACAGGGGCCCAGCGAGCAGCCTCAGCCTCCCGCCCTCCACCCCCCAACACACAATTTATCCTTTCTCTGTAGCTACTTGAAAAACCCAAGTTTTCGGCCTCCTAGCGTATTACGTCCTGTTTTGGACTAGTCTTATTATCGTATAACTAGTTAATTTTGGATTTCCATTTGGGCTTCTTTTTTTTTTTTAAAGATATAAAGATTTAATAATTTCGATTTAAGATTACCATAGTAAATTATAAAATAATCCATGTATTTTTTAAAAATTATTTAGTTTTTAAACCGATGATCATATTTAATTTATATTATTTTATTTCAAAAAATATTATTTTTTTTCATTAACTCTTCTATATATAATAATAATAATAATAATAATAATAATATTTTTTAAGATATAACGATTTAATAATTTCGATTTAAGATTACTATAATAAATTATAAAATAGTGCATATATTTTTCAAAAATTATTTAGTTTTTTTACTAGTGATCATACTTAATTTACATTATTTTATTTCAAAAAATGTTATTTTTTTCATTAACTCTCATATATATATATATATATATATATATATATTAAAAAGTATTAAATTACAAGAAAATTTAAAATACAAGAACTAAATAATTTGTTTTTTGAACATAAACTAATTAATCCATTTAAAAAAAAAAAAAAAACTAGATAGACTAACTTATAATTTACTCAAGATTACTATTACTATCATATTTGATTTGTGTCAAAGGTTGAAGAAGACAAAAAAATTTGAAAGTTATCCCCTTGTGTATAGAATAATAACATTTATTCTTACTTTTTCGGTTTCTACTGCTACCTCGAAACAATCATTTTCAGCTATGAGTATAGTTAAGACTAAGTTTCGTAACAAAATGAAAGATGACTTTCCTTTTGATTGTTATTAGTGTATATTAAAAAAGAAATTTTAAAAAATTTTAATATAAATTCGCTTATATATAATTTTCGTGACTTAAAAAAATGAACATCTCTATTTTTAGTAATTATATTTTGAGATTATTTTAAAATATATATTGGTATATTATTTATAATATATATAAATTTATGTAAATCATGATAAATTTATAAATATTTATGTTGAGGTCTTGCTTCCCCACACGACTGTAAATCTGTAATACTAACTTATCATCTCAGTGGTATACAAAGCACTAAAAAACTGATATTACAAGTTTCTACTATATGGATACTGAAAGCATTATAAGTCAATCATTAACTTGAGTGAATTCTAAAGCATTTGCATCTGGATCTCGAGTAAATATGGCAGGCCTCCCAGACCGGCTAAGTGTATAGGGAATACCTGAAGAACAGCACAACGCTATAAGGTACTGCATTCCTTGAAAAATTTACAAAGCTTGCTGTAAAAATCATGTGGCACACAAACGCAAATACATATAAAAATGTACATAGATGAGCGCACAGGGATTCAGGCACATGCTTGTTAGGCAACGAATGACAACAGAAGATTCAGGAGAGAGTGCTTTACCAGCTTTATCAAGGATCATTTTTAACTTAGACACATCCTGAATCGCAATGCAAGTATGTCGATCCCGGCCACCATGCTCAGGTCGTCCAGTCAAGGGGTCAGGGTTTGGAAGCTCCATTAAATGAATCATTTCAGAACCTATCCACAACCAGGCACCCCTATAGGGAAGTTTACCATGTGGCCTTGCTTCATTTAGGTCAAGACCTAATTTTAAATAGAAACCGTGTTCATCAATCTCTGTTTTTTCATCACTGTTTATCTTAGGGATATAAAAAAAAAAAAAAAAAAGACGTGATTTAAAGACATTGGCCAGGAGAAAGTAACATACCTAAGACCCCTTGATAAAATTCAAGTGATCTTTCAAGGTTTTCACACAACACTCCAACATGGTGAACACTAACAACTCCATAATCTGCAGTAATACCAGCAAATTAACAGATACAACTTACACCTCAAAAATAGCAGTCAGCCTTTTCACTCATGAACTCTTATTTTACACATGAGCCCCTGTTTAACACCCAAACACATGTATACACTCACAAAGAGAAAGGTATGTGGAAATAAATTTGCACCTTCATATGTAATCATACCATTCGATTTAGGAAGAAAACAACTGAACTATGTTACCAAGATGTATATAAAATAAAATAAAAAATTATGATGATGATACTAATGGTCCTTAGGACCTTCTTAAATTTTGTACCCATATTCATACAATGAAAACGATAAGAAATCCCTTGATTCCCACTTTGGTGTACACTCTGTGTCCTGTATTTCCATACATTATACTTCACATCCTCAATTAAGTTTGTCTAACAACACATGTTATCTTGCATTTATTTTCCAGCAACACTCAGCAATCACCTTTCAGATCACACACAACAAATGTTTGCATTATTATAAAATGCCCTTGAATACATCAGCAACTAAAAAAAAAAACAAATAATAATAATAATAAAAAAACTATATTGCAGTTATTATATGATAGCTTTTGTATATAGGTCTCTCCAAAACAGTTAATTGAATTAACGACCAAACTGTACCTCTCTGAACCACGGGTGCATTTCAAGAGGCTTCTAAAACATTTGGATAAAATGAAATTTTACATCAGAAACAATGTCACCCTTAAGCTCCATGCTGTAGATCAATTTATCTCTTAACACCTAACCAAAACATGGAAATTGTAATCTAATGGAAGCTTGTAACATGTAGAACATTTTAATGGTCCAAACTTCGAAGAAGAAGCATACGTTAAATTTAGTAGCCTGACAAGCCAAGATTTGGTCAAACACATAATCTTCTCTTTAACACCTTATTTTGAATCCTCTATGAAGCCACAAATATACATCAAAATGAAGATCATAGCATGGGTTCCTTTCCCAATAAAGCTATCAAAAAACAAGGGTTTACATAATTATGAAAATTGATTAGAGCCAACTATAATTAGGCAATCCTCAAATTCATTTCATGCCATGAAATAGAGAAAATTTCAAACTAAATGTGAAAACTCATTCCATCCTTTAACGAAGTTCACCAAACTATTTTCTGATCCTTACAAAACCAGGCACAGTCTATTAGCTAACATGTTGTTCATATACAGTCCTCGATATCTGCCAATCTTTTTATTTTTTTATTTTTCCTCTAGAAGAACTCTACCTTCTTTCTTCCCTGTTAACCATCTTTCTAACTCACTGTCATAGTTGCTAAATGAAACCCCTTTTGGGCTTTCAGTATACATAGAGCTTACATTGAGTTCCTTTTTTTTTTTTTTTTTTTTTCAATTTGCTTTAGCACAAAAAGAATAACACTGTTAAAAATGCAAGGTGCAAACCGTGACTGGAGGATAAATCAAAGAATATTATGCAATTTTCCCTAATACAATACAGTTTTACATGCAAATAAGAATCATTCCAAAGGCATGAAATCCAACAAAAGGAGTTGTTCGGTATTCAAACAAGCTAGGGCACAGCATTTTCCAATCATCAACTAATTCGTTGTTGTTGTTAGAGGTGTGTGATCCAATAAATTAGACAGGTCAGTTTATAGAAAGATTCAGAAAAATCAGATTGCATCCAAATGCAACTTATAAGGAGAACTATCTGTAACATAATGAAGCACAAAATCAAAGAAGAAGAGTTACCAATCTTCTCATTGACATTGGTTGATTCTTTCTCAACTATATTTGCTTCAGAAGAGAGCTTAGCTTTTGTCTTGAAACAAAACCCAGGAGGCCTATTACTACCAGCATTGGTTTGATAAAAATGGCATAGTGAGTTCATAGATACAGGTTTAGCAGTTACACGATTCACCTGCAATGCAAACACAAATATGAATTAAAGATACAAATATATGGACCAATGGGAGCAGGAGCAACATCGTCAGCAGTTTGATGGGCCGTACCCATATCCATATCCAAAGTACAGGAAACAATCGAATGAGACATGTATGCTACCGATTTATGACATCAAAAACCTTAACCAACACTAGCCCACCAACAAGCATCGACTGAACATGAATGTGCAGTTTATGAAGGTTGGATCTTGTATGATAGGGGTCATTTAGACGAATGGCTTCAAAAAGAGGAGGAATCTATGTACATCAAGGAGTCATTTGAGGCTTTCTTCCCTAAAGCCTATGCACTGGCTGATTCTAGTCAGGATCTATCTTGTTCTTCAAATGTTATTTCCCAGCTGAAGAAGCTCTTAAGTGGCCTTCAGATAGATTGTGCAAAGGCCAGGTATGGTTTTCCTGTCCCCTGCGTTTTCTTTGAAATATTGGTGGGAATTGCTGGAATTTTCCAGTCAGATGTACAGTGGTCATTGTCAACTTTAATCAATTACCCTAATGTGGTTTTTTAAAGATCATCTGGTGTTAAAACCTAGGGCATGTCTTATTGATTCATGAAAAGAAAAACAATAAGAAACAGAATTAAAAAAAAAACATTACAGTAGATCATTGTTGGTGATCGAGAAAAATGAGTTATGATTGGCTGCAACAAATTGGTTGGTGATAGAGCAGAGCAGCATTTAATTCAAAGCATACAGTGGTGACTGCACGCCAAGGTATTTGAGACAGCGAGATCCAAAAATTAAACACGCCAGCTAGGCAAGATTAAGGTTAAATTGCTGCGAAAGTAAGAAATTGTTTCTAAAGTCTGGTTGGAAAATCTCCAACACTATCCATTAAAAAAAAAAAAAAAAGCCCCTTAACGAACACAAAATACTAATCGTCAATCTGGATTTTTTTAAGAAAAAAGAAAACCCATTTAAGATTCTGCCTATCTTTTTTCATAACCTAAGTTACAGACAGTATATGTCCAATTAAATTACCAAGTATCAACAATATAATACATAACAAAACAAGAAAAATCACCATTTTTTCATTAAAAAAACTGCAACATGTATGATTAATGACAGTGTTAGAATAAATAATTTTACCTTGTGTTGCAGAGCTAAGGTGGCTGATGAGCTAGGAAGAGAAGCCATGGATGGGATGGAAGCAGTGAGAATAACTGATCTGGATTTTTGTTCATTTATTCTGTTATGGCTCCAAACCCCAAACAACAACAATAACGGTTACCCGCTTGCTGGCTATTTTTTTCGACCACATATTTTCACCAAAAAAAAAAAAAAATAGGCCACTCACGGAGTAAATTATAAATTAGTATCTCTAGTTTGGGAAACCAATTAAATAATTTTTTATTTCAAAGATTCATTATTGAGTCGTTGTATTATTATTATTATTATTATTATTTTGTAACTTAATATTTTTAGTTTTTTCAATTTATTTTAATTTTTATTTAAAAATTAAATATTAAAAAATATTTTTTTATAAAATAAGATAATGTTAAATTAAATGCAACCAATAATTGTTAAGAGACTAAATAATTAATTTTTAAATATGAGAGACTAATTAATTTGTGTTTTGAAAATAGAGGGACTAATTTATAATTTACCAGCCTACCACGATATTAAAGGTAGTTAACTACAAATAAGTACATCGATTTTTAAAATAATTTTCAATTAATTCTTAAAATGTAAGATATTATAATTCCATTCTTCAAGTAGAACCGAAGTTTCAATATGATGATTCCATAATAGTATTTGAATGGTTTCCCAAGAAGGATTGTGAAAGACGGTGTTTTTTGTTGAAATGATATTAGGAAAGTGAAAAAAATATAAGATTGTCTTCTATATATATATATATATATATATATATATATATATATATATATATATATATATATATATATATATATATATATAGCTTTAGGATAAAATAAAATAAAATAAAATAAATAAAACAAGAGACAACCCAAATGGAAACATTAATTTAAGCTGGATGATATTATAAGATTTGAATTTTAAAAAAAAAAAAACCTTAAGGTGAAAATGAGAATAATAGTTTTATTTTTACTTTATAGGTGTTTAATTGAAAATAAAAATGTAAATTAAACTTGAATTTATTCTCATAGAAGGAGGTGAGAATAAAAACAAATAATGAAAATGAAATTTTTTCTTTAAAATAATAAAATATTATTTTTATTTATTGTATATCAATTATTTTCTACCACTATCATCACATCAAGCACCCATGCCACCACCAATATCACCATTGGTAGTGAGAATGAAAACAAATTCAAAAAAAAAAAAAAAAAATCAATATGATTCATCCACCACTCCTTTACCAAAACCACCACCTTTTATTCACACGGCAACCACCTCCTTTTCTTTATTTCACTAGCATCTTTTGTGATGGTAACATCATATTTTAAAAAATATATTATTATTATTACTAGTCTACTATTACTATTACTATCTCCTCTTCCTTCTTCCCCTCCTCCTCACCATTACCATTATAATCACATTTAATATTTTTACTATCATAATTGTTGATAAAAATATTTTTTTAATCATTATTCTTATTAATTTTAAAAAGCTGATATTAAAAATTTTAAATTTCATTTTAATTTCTTACTACTATTCCAAATACAATATTGAAATGAAAAATATCACTCTAATTTCTTAGTTTTCATTTCAATTCTTGTGTTTTTATTCTAATTTTTTTATTTTCAATAACTAAACAACACTTAAGGTGTTGGACTAGTGGTTAAGAAGATTTGTTTTATTTCTTAACTTTTTAAATTTAAATTTAGGGAGTACCTAGAAATTTATTAATTTTTTTTTAACACATCTAAATCTATGCATGGAAACTAACATCAAAATATCCTTTAAAAAAAAATCGTTAGAAGTAAATGTAAATGTTAATTAAAAGATTTGTAGCAATAAATGTATGTGATAATTAATAGCCGGTTTGTCAACTAATAACATGATATGTTTAACTTTTTAATGCTTAAAATGACTTAGCTCCTCAGTCAAACAGAATGGCAAAATGGACTTGCATAAGCCATGTGGGTTAATGCTGGCATGGCTTTTTTTATTCGTGATTATGTTATTAAAATATTCTTCTTCTTCTTCTTCTTCTTCTTTTTTTTTTGTCTTAATTTCATCTTTTGTTGTTTGGTTTTTATCATTATTATGTTCTTCTTTAATGTTTTGTGCTAATGACATTTTATGTGTTAAGTTTTTTTTTTTTTTTTAACTGAATGAAAATAAACGAATTTTGGAATTTTTACTTTTTCGAAATTCATTTATTTTCATTCAATAAAAAAATTATTTGATATGTGTCACAATGATAAGATTTAACACCGTTAGCTTAAAACAAGTAATGAAAATACATAATAATGATAAAAATTAAACATTAAAAGATAAAAAAGACTTTTAAAGACAAAATTAAGAGTAAAAGAAACCATGCAAGCATTAATCCCGAATCATACATACCCCACTACTCTAAACATAGATATATAAATGTGCGAAAAAAAGGAACAATAAAAATTACCGAATAGTTTACTATATGTCTATTGAATGGTTTAATAGCAAAAATTACCTTCAAACTATTAGAGTTATGATAATTTAAAAATTTTATTATCAATTTGGATTATTTAAACCTCAAATTATTATTTTCTAGAAAAATATTATAATTTTTTCATTTTTTTCACAATCCAAACATTGGATGTTAACTTGAATACTTAAACAATGTTACTTAAGCATTCTATTTTTTTTTTTAATGACAAAAATCATCCCAAAATTATTAGATTTATAGAAATATAAGATATTTCCTATCAATTTAGATTAGTTAGATTCTAAAGCTATTATTTTTTGAGCAAATATCATACTTCTTCTCGTTATATTTTTCGGTCAAAGTATTGACTATTACATGATTACTTAAATAGCATCGTTTACGCATTGCAGCTTATTTTCTTTTTTCTTTTTTCTTTTTTCTTTTTTTTTTTTTTTGGTGAATTGTTTTTTTAAAAAAAGTCAATACAAACAATAAATCATCCCAAGACATTACTCAATCAATCGAATTAATTGAAAAGAACAAAGAGAGAGGTCGCAATCAATCGATTTTAATTGAATTATTTATTTCAATTAACTAAATCAATTGAATAGATAACATATCCAAATGTTCTTTTGCTAGAATAATTTCTTTCAATCCTTTGTCTTCTCTTGATATGTTATCTACTTTGAATTTATATTTCAACTTATTTATTGTAAATTTTACTTCTTTGCTTCACCTTCCATATGCACTACAACAACTTCAATTATCTTCTACTAAATTTGAAGTTTTTATTCCTCATAAATTTTTCTCTAACAATCTAAATCTTGTTCACAAACCTTTTCTAATGATAATGTTCAAAATTGCTACCGGATGATCTCGTATTGAACTATGATAAAGTTTAGACACTTGATCTATCTTATAACAATTTTACAATGTCCATTTCGAGCTTGAAAGTAAAAAACCCTTGCAACTTCTTATCGTAACTTTATATATTTGAAAACCATTTAATGGATTTAATTTCTTCTCGCCCTTTCAATTTATACAAATCTCAAAACTTTGAATCCTTCATTCCATATGCTCACCGAAGAAATTCCAAGGTCTTTTGATGAATCAAATTGTTTATAGAGATTGAATCTCTCTCGCAATCATATCACTGGTGTGATTCTTTCTAAATTCACTTCTAAAAGTTATACTTTTCTCTAATAACATTTCAAGCTCGATTCATGTCTTAATTTCCTCTTATTTTTTTACTACGATTTGATCGATTGCAACCTCTTTCTCTATATTAAGTTCAGCTTAATTCATTCGATTTAATAATACATCGGGATAACATGTCGTTGTTAATGTGGGTGCCCAAGATCCAACCATTTTTTGGATAGGTTTGAGTTATTATATTATTGCATTATTTATTATTAATAATAAAAAAAGTCTTTCTATTAATTCTCATTGTTTATATTTATTTATTGAATAAAATTAGATAGAAGTCTATATGATATGCATTTGCATTAGTGATAGATCGAAAGATGTGATAAAAACATTTTACACATAAATGATATCATTAAATGTCCAAAGTCATAGCATTGTCAAGAATGGACATTGACTATATGTGGTTAGACTTGTGAGTGCTATGCTCATGCTATATGATAGCAATAGAAAATCTCACACATATTGCATGATGATGTCAAAGCAAGCACTTAGGTGATTCATATTAGAGAACATATTATTAAACTTGACTCGCGATGAGAACCCATGTAGTTTAGTTTATAGGAATCTCATACGAGATGGGTGCAACTAGTCGTTAGACTTGAAGTCATCACGGTTATCTCATTAGAGGACTTGTTTACTTTGATATTCGTTTCGATGGACCCGAGTAAAGGATTGCATGTGGGTGATTCATTGAGTGCACTAGGAATCTAATAGAGGTAGGTGGATGACTAAGATAGAACATGTCATTCCTTGTATACTAAAGGAGTTATCATATTGCACTTTGATGAATGTCTACTCAAAAAATCTATGATTATAGTAGGAGTACACCAATAGAGCATAGTTGATTTACTCTAAGAGCTAAAATATTTAGAAATCGAAGAAAACTTATGTGATCATAATCGAACAAGGCTAATAACCAAGTTCAAGATCACACTATAATAAGTTGATATGAGGACTTGAATTGTATGGTAACCATGCTCGTAAAAGGTAATTGTATGGTAACCATGCTCGTGAAAAGTAATTATGAATTAATTAATCCTCTTAAAGAATTGGGTAGTTATGATGCCTTACTAAAGGTCAATCTTGATTTATGTATCAAGAGATAAAAGAGGTGTTTTTTATTCTTGATACATTGCTAACATATCTAGGAGCCTATTGAGTTACATGCATAAGTTTAAGCATTCACATAATAATAAAGAAGCAAAAATTTTGGAAAAAGTTTTAAATTTTGAAGGTTTCCTATTCTGGAATAGGTTTTCCAAAATGGAAAGTTTCCTATTTTAGAAATCAATTTCCTAATTTGGAAGTCAATTCCAAATTTGAAAGTAAGTTGCCTAAAAGAAAAATTAGTTTCCTAATTTAGGTTTACGGGTAATTT